AAGGTTTAATAATATAAGATATTGATTTGTAAAAAGAATTTATAATATTAATGCATTGGAAGAATGTTTATCGTTTAATCGATCGTAGTTTTATCGTTGTGTGTTGCAAATATTAAGCCCCCCACCCCGTTTGATTTGTTTTATAAGCAGCATTCGACATCATGCTGTATAACTCGCCGGGAGGCAATAAAACCGGGAATGATCGAGGGGCGAGAGCCGAAGGCGGAAATTGAACGCGAGTTGAACTTTACGCTCATCGCGCGAGCGCTGATTTGGTTCGGTCGATTTGGTCGCGTTGTGCAGTCGGATTGAAATCAATGGCTACGCCTTTGCAAGTCGTAAAAGCCGCAAGCCGTAAGTCCCTCTCTTTCCTTTCTTTTTTTTTCTTTTCACCTTTGGTTAAGAAAGCCCACAGCGAGACCGAGAGAGAAAAAGAAAGAAACGAGAAGAGGACTAAATTCATGCGAATTATGCAGCGGTCTCGCGCCGCAGTAGTACGAGCCGTGTTTAATCAGACAAACAGCGCTCGCGAATTACTACGCGCGCAGTGATGATTTTCAATATTCTCACACGCTAAACCACACAGATATTCAACATATCATACTTTAATAACAAGTTCACTTTAATAACAATGAAATAAAGCGAAGCACTTTTATGCAAAGTGCGATTAAAATAAATTTCCACCCAAAACTTGATTGTTTCGATATTAAGCCCAAGTTATAAATCCCTCAAACTAAATACAGGATGTTTAATGCTGCAAACGATGCGGTTAGAGGATTAAAACGGCTCGTATCATGTCGCGGAGCGTTTAACGGGCGGGAAGAGGGGAAGGGGGCTCATTCACCGACATCGACCTTAATATTGTCACACAGAGACATTTACTTCGCCCGGTGTATTTACGACGATGGGTTATAAAGGGAACCGTTACGTGCGCGACATATGCATACGGGCGCATTAATCGTCGCGCTCGCGCTCGATAGCCCCCGGGGCTCTGCCGTTGCGACGCGATATCGCCGAGACCTGCCATTATGTCACGAGATACACTGAAAATAAGCATTAGTCGAAATAGATATCTCGGGTAGCGGCCAGCCGCGATGATTAATGCATCATAGACGGTGTACACGAGAGAGCAGCTGCGCGACGCTCCTCCATTCGATGCTGTTGTAAAGGCAATTTCTGTGTATATCGATGCTGCCGTAACACGCGCGACAATAATTTCGACGCCGTGTATAGCAGGATTTACTAAAATATCGTGTTCCGTCTGGCACGTAAAATGATAAATACAGTTTTATCGGATTTGTTGTTCTTTGTTATAGGAAAAAAAAAAAAAAACTCTTCAAATTAGCCAAGAAAATTGTTAAACAAATTTTCGGTATACAGAGAGTGTTTCGGGATTACTTTTCAAATTTAAAATCTCTATTATTTTAATTTCTACGTTATATAAATTTCGACCTAGTATTCACATTTATTCAATATTATTCATTTCATTTATCGTATTTGCAAACATTTTCTTTGGGAAAAACTGAGATTATAAATTAACATTTTTCCGCTTCTTAAGCGCGATTATTATTTTTGTCATAAGAGGATTTTGTCATATTATTTTTGTCATAGGAGAATATCTATTGATTTCCGGTTAATTTGTTCGAATGCGAGAAAAAGCGCGTCCGCGACGCTTCGCTTTTCTATTAAACACAGACGGCGATTTACGATGCGCATTACTATCTGACGCGATATTGGATTACCATGACGTTATTACACGCCAGACACGCGCGCGACGCTTTGTTAAATTACGAGCGGACGCGTCTTTCATCCCGCTTGAAATTAAATGTCGCGCTTTGGGAGCTGTGCTGCTTCCGATATCGAGGCAGCGATAAGCGGAGCCGGCTCTATAATTGATTCCGCAAAAACGGTGACGATAATCTTTGACGTAATAATTCAATATCGAAATGTGAAATCTTGCGAAAGCGGTGACATCGAATAATTAAAAAATTATTTTACCATTGATTTATTTTTATGATGCATCAAAGAAACGGACGGATGCAAGTAAATTGTATTTGACAGTGTCATCTGTCTACGTTACCTTAAAGTTAAAAATAGAAATAAAATCTTACTGTCTAAAAAAAGAGCCGCACAAGTATTACATAGCGATGCATCAAAGCAATAAGTTATTGTTTGTAAAAATCAATTGGTTATTAACATTTTACTATTTTATTTTCGTTGCATGCGTTACGATCTTGTCGAATTGATCTTTCAAGAAATTTCACGGAGCATTTGCTCGCAAAGTATTCGATCGCACGTGATCGATAACTGTATTACGTCGGCCAATATTTTTACTTGTGCCATCGTACGTTTATTAATTAAATTACCACGCCTCTTAATAAATCGCGGGATCATTGGAGCGTCGAGACTGTCGATAGCCGTTTTTCATTTTCTCCAGCGGGCCAATTAGAACGCTCGTCGTGATAGGAGGATATGCAGAAGGAAATGACGAGTTAATGCGATTTCCTTTCATATACAAGCATTATATATGACGTAAAACTTCTCGAGTAATGAATTTAACGTTTAATATTTGTAATCGCGTTAATATTTTAATATTTAGTATAAAAATAGTGCCTATTTAAAGTAGAAATGTAACAGACTCTGTTACTTTTGTTTATTCTGAAACACTTTATCGCTCCCAAAAATCAGAAGAATTCACTTACTTGGCGGTCCTGTAAAAAATGGCGCAACCGTCGACGTACTTGCGGTCGTTTTCCGCCATCGTCTTCGCGCGAGACTTGGGCGAAAATATACCGTCGTATCCGTCGTGCTTCAGTTCCGGCAGGAAGAAGTTGTAGAATTGGTCCGTCTCGACCTCCTGCAGGCTGATGATGTCCGCCGCATAGTGTCGTATTTCGTCGAGAATACCTTTTTTCCGGTATTCCCAGTCTAACGCCCAGCTCGGGCAGTAACCGTACATCTGCCGCGTCGCGTACTTGTCGCACAGCACATTGTAGCACATCACTGTGAATATGCCTGTAACAGAAAGCAAACCAAATATTTATATACATTATGTATAAACACGATAAACGACAATTAATAAATAAAGAAAAATTGTAATCGCAAATCAGCCCCTTATTTTGTTGTTATTGTTAATAAAACAAATCCTTGTTTTTATCAGTTACATTTATATCGTTGAAAAATCTAGAAGAGACAATCACTAACGCTTGAAAAACGAAAAGTCTGTTGAGATTCGCTTGTTTTTTCTCCCGCGTCTCTCTATGTCTTTCCCAATATGTCAGAAATGTTATTTTATTCGCACAAGTTTGTTCCAGTTTCGAAATCGAACGACTCAACGTCCATAAATTATTTCTGTTGCGTCGTGAATACTGCAGGATTTTGAGTACTCTTGGTTCGAGACGCTCGTTTCTTTCGCGATCCTAATTCTGCGTCTTCACGGTTCGCTTCGTAAGCCGTTCCATTTTCCTCGAGCTCTCTCCTATCTTCCAATTCTCCCTGTTCCGCGCGCCATGAACGCGAACAGACGGATACGTGTTGCACGCTTAGGCGCGCGCGCGTGCTGGCGGGCGAGCGGACGGATTCTCGCGGGCCGGGGATAAGAGGATCAGCATAAAGCGAGCTGTCTTGCCGACGTCGCCCGGTTGTCTGCATAAATTCCCGACGCCTTACTTCGCCTCACGCGATTTCGCGAGTTATCCGCTGCGCGTAGTATAATGCCGTGATTAAAGCGCGCGAATGCGAATCAAGTGCGCAACGTTGACGCCGTGAAACGCCTTCCCTTGTCATTCATTGTGCGCATTTACGGCAAAGTACGGTTGCCTGTTTCTGCTTCGCTTCCAGACTTATTTATGCACATTATTTCGCCCCGGAAAACTTCAAGTCCGTGTGCAGGATCGATTCAACTTGTTAACAGATGAATCTTGAAGCGCTCTCAAAGCGCTAATTGCCGAATCTCTCCGTGATTTCGACGAGCTTCGATGCCCCCTTGAAGAAGACATCTCGCACCGATAATGCTGGAACCAATTTAACGCGGCCCAGGCGATAGACGGCTACGCTAAATCAGTAAATCAGCGATTCTATTACCGCGAACGCGATCGCGAATACCGCCGTTGCGGCAGAGAGAAAGAGAGGGAGAGTGTAAATAATTGAGCCGCGGTATCCGCCGCAATCCAATAACGCGTGCACACACTCCGAGAGTAGCTCGCGATATCGCAGCCGCCGGGAGCGAGAGAAGCAGTTAGGTAGCATCGGCATCTCGGATTCGCCCCAAACCGCTGCTCCCAAAACGCTGTTAATCATTCAGTCGAATGCGAATTGGCCTCGCCCTGCCTCGAGCGAAGGATGAAGGAAGATAGAATAATATCTTGCATTGTAAATAATGATCATTTTCATTGCGATTAGCATAAGGTATATTAATTTAATATCGATATGTGCTTAATGAGGTATCAGGATTGTTATTAACTTTTTACTTTCGACCGGCAACAAGCGAGATACAAAACACAGGAGAGATAACGTAAAATGTAAGACAACATTAATTATACATAGACGCGGGGCGTTCCGTGGCGGTGTAAACGCTTTTAATCTTTAATTATCTGTTCCCGACACGCGGCGATAAACGCGGCCGATAGGCCGATTTTTTAATCGCTGCGATAAATACGATCGTTAACGATTCGCCGATTCCTTTTCCTCGAGCCTTGTTCGCTCCCGAAGGGGTTGCTAACACGACCGTCTCGACCGTCTATCGGCGTTCGCTAAGTCGGCGAGAAGTCTTAAGAAGGCATTATTCAGGCTTGATCTTGTGTGAGATATGCATCGTTAATGGACGCCCCGCCGTTTCCCATCGAGTCGTTAGACAAGATGGAGACAATGACGTATACATCGAATTCGAGGGGTAGCTTTATCACTCGCAGCGACTGCGATAAAGGAGAGAGCTTCTTTCACTCTTTATTTGACGTTTTATCGAAATTCTTGATTGTTCATCAAGCTAATTGTCATAATACTTTTCAAGATATCGCTCTGAGTATCTCTTGAATATTTAAATAAAATTGTGTGCAGCAATGTAAATTATAATTAAATAAAAATCATTTAGGTATATATTTTTCTATCTGATTAAATTTTAAAGACTATTTTTTCAACATGATTCTAATATTTGATGCGATTATAATGTTGATGGCGAGTGTCCTTTTTGAAGCACTTTCCTTCTGGCAAATACAGCTTTAAAGAGGATTAGCCTAATCCGAGGATTACCGGTCCAAACTGATAATGACCAAAGTTACCGAATAGTTATAGTACCTATACATCGCTACAATCTACGACCATATCTTCGAAGTAGCGAAACCTGATCGCTTCTCCAAGTACGGCACATTTATTGATAGCAAACTAAGTCAAACAAGCCCAAGTTTCGTCCCAACCAATATTAATTATATATATCCACGTTCTTCTGCATCCGGTACGCAATCTGTTAGTACTGGCAACACTATCTGTCGAGATAAGTCTGTCGATTATATTGTATGAAGAAATTTATGCAGTAAATTTCTATGACGTTTCCCTTCAAGTTGAGGAAGTTTACTCAGCACCTTACACACATCAAAATCATTTTAATCGTATAATTTATATCTTAGTGATAATCTTCATTGTAATTGATCCTGACAAAATCTAAATCACACAAAAAATATTTTAGAAACAGATTTGTCAGCGAGACACTATCTCGATTTACGTAAAATTTGCATAATTTTTACAATCGATTGCTGGATATAAAGTTTTAATTTTCATTATTATCTCCGGACGACGATGAGGCAAATAATTAGCGGTTTAGCGAGACTCGCCGTGAAAGTATTCACAAAGTGCGCTGAGTACGTTTGTGCGAATTTGCCCGCGCGACAAGGTATTCCGCAAGATGTAAACTAAAGTTCAACGAGCTCGGCATGCTCAGGGCATGGTCGGGACCGGCAAATAGCGAATAGCTGCCGCGGGAGCTTTGGAGCTTCGGCAGCCGGCAACCAACCTGTTAATCACCTTAATCTACCAAGTGTTTTAGCCGCTCGGAGGAATATGCTCGAAGGAACACTTCCCGAACTCCGAGAGTCGAGCAGATGACAGGTACAGACAGGACAACCACTATAAACTACAATGCATACATTGTAGATTCACTTTAAAATTAAACTGTATTACAGCAAAACTTGCTTCTATGAAGAAGAAATAAAGGAAAGACACATTTTAACCTGACAAATATAATAGATGTAAGAGAAATTAAGAGTGACATCTTGTAAAAATATTACGACAATAAGCTTTGTGAACATTTCAGAGTTTCAATAAAATATCGTAATGTACGATCGTAATAATCAAATTGAAGGAAGACGAGTGTACGGAATCAGATAATAATTTAACTATCAAAATACCGCTGTCGTCTCTTGAGTGAATATCTTTTGCGCATCTCTATCGCACATCTATAAATGTATTCATGATACAAGACGATATCTGCAAGTAAATTAGAAACTAAAATGAAATTTGAGAACAAGACAGTCTCGTAGAATGTAGAATGGCGAATGAGGAAGATGCGCTTTTATCGCGCGCCGAACACGAAGCGGGGTGCTGCAAAAAGACGACAACGGCAGTCAATGGCAGCGATGTAAGCGGTGATCCATTCACGACTAGGCATCCTCTTTGAGGTCAACGATGCTGCACCGGTTGCGACCTACCCCAAGAGTGGCCAAACCAGTCTCTGCGAGAGAAGATCCGAACAGGTTACCTAATTTGCACACGTCAGAGAAGCCGCCGCTGTCTCTGTGTCTCTGTGTCTCTGTCTCTCTGTCTCTCTGTCTCTCTGTCTGTCTGTCTGTCTCTCTCTCTGTGTCTCTCTCTGTCTCTCTCTGTCTCTCTCTCTCTCTCTCTCTCTCTCTCTCTCCTCTCCCCCCCCCTCTCCCCCTCTACAAGCGTGCCTGCTTACATCGGACAAAGTTGCTTATAACGGGTGTCACGCACGACAAATGTACATCTTTGAGATTAATAATTCAACAGATTGATCGACATTGCTTCGTATTTTTTAAGCAATCTCAATAAGCTTTAAGGAACTGATTGAAATTTCAGGCAAACGTGTCAGAGATATCTGCAGTTTCGAAGTTTATTTCTATGGCTTGTGAGAGATTTTGTAGAACTTTTGACGCATTGTACTGTGAGTCAAGTGAAATTTTCAGGCCGGATCAACTTCGCCAAGATTCCTACGATGATAAATAAGCGACTTTGTGGCGCAACAAACGCGTGCAGCTGCACGCCGAAATAGTTGGCTCGTAAATCGGTATTACTGCGAATCTCTACTTCGCAGCGGCCGGGGTATTTACAACGTAAAAATCTACCTCGAATAATTGACCAACTTCGTCGACATTCAAGGGATTGACTGCATTAAGTAGCTAAGCTATTCATATAGATCGAAACGTCGCAGTTGATCTTGGAAATTTTACGAATGTATAAACGCAGTATGCTTCGCAGAAATGCAGCGGTATAAATCGAGAAAAAGAAAGTTCGCCTCTCTGAACGTAAATTCGAGAAAAGTGGCACACATTTCTGTGCGCGATACTGCAAGATATAAACGTATCTTTTTTTATATATATATATATATATATAGAACACTTGTACATACGTTCTATCGTTATGTCTCGACATAAGGATACGTTACGGTTGCTGGAAACATTTTTAACGAGAATAGTCGCGTGGGAGTTTTTCAGATTGCAGAAATCACTGTAATAATAAGCCGTTTGAGATACTTATTCTGTTTTCTTAGCATACTTTTTATTTATCTTTCTTTTTCTTAGAAAATAATAAATCTATACTCGTGATAATCTCGAATAACAAAACGAAAACGCATAACAATCTATAACATGCGATATATTTTTAGCAATAGCGATTTTTGCGATTTATAAACATTCCACAATTTTCCACGCAAAAAAGTCACGCAATCATTTTTGGGTTAAAGTTAATAAGAATTTTATAATACGTTTTAAACATCTCGTAAGCTTAATAAATGTTGAAAAGCGCCGTTTGTTAAGCATATCTATCTTGGGAAGCCTTGTCCTAGAATCTAAATAAATCTTCCATTTGATTGACCGGCATTATTTCATTACTTATCGTTGTAGATCGAGATAATCGCAGTAATCAAGTAACAGGCAACGGCGATGATTCTTCGCGAGATAGAACGCGAAAGTAATAGCCGACTCGCGCGGTTACTAACAGTAACAAACGCGGCATTCCTCGCTCGCTCGTATAACGCCACGCCGACGCGGCAATGACGGTAATAATCGCGACAAAAGCGGCAACAGCAATGATCACCGCACGCGCGCACACCACGGCAATAATCATTTCTAATAAGAATATAATCGCGCGCGCGCAAGCAGTTACAAGCATCGGAATGGTAATGGCGCGTAATTGTCCCGTAGAACGCGACCCGGCCATGTACGGGCCACCATAATGAGTATGATTGTCAGGGTCCTCGGGAGGTGCAAGAAGTAATTTGCACGGGCGCGCTACTGTCAGGTCTGGTATTATGTTATTTTGTGCCACGTGCGAGTGAAAACGACGCATTTCTTAGAAAAAAAAAAAAATATCGGTATAAAGATAATGCATTAAAATAATTGATAAATTACACAATAATAGTTTTGTGCAAATTATTAAATAAATTTTTAAAATACTTTTTTCCAGAGAAGGAAAATTGTTCTTATAACCGTAAAATTGAAGATAGAATACATTTATCTGCTGCACAAAAATGAAAAAGCCGCATTAAATTGCTAATAGAATTAAAAGTAAAATTACACCTGCCTGCGTCTCTGGACAATGCGTCAGTGGCATTCTACGAAGTTGCGCGTATGCACCGACCTATCACGAGCAACGGGGATTCCGAATGTAATTCCGCGCGTTCCGGAGCGTAGACGCGAAACGAGGATAATTCTCAGCCGGTCTCGCGGTATAACGGTGGTGATGACGGCGTAACGCCGCGAGTAACGCGGCGAGACCTATCCCGAATGTGTGCAGCGAATCGTAACGTGGGTCGCTGCGATAATTACAACGATCTCGGAGAAATTGGTTTTAAACGTTCGCATTCACATAATTCCTAAATTGCCGCATTCGTAAAACAGTAGCTCGCCGAATGCGGTGTGCATTGAGCAATTACGCAGCCGGCGGTGGTGGCGTTATAAGTCGTAGCGCGCCGCATGCTGGAGCACAAACCGTGTCTCTCTCTTTCTCTCTCTCCTCTCTTAAATACAATATTCCCCTAGTGTAGTGCGCAATATTTGATTACGACTATTTACTAATGAATGTAAAATATGTCTCTGTGTTCTAATCCGACGCGCTTGTACCGTATGTCGGATTTCTCGAGAAATATAATACATTTAAAACATGTTACATACATTTAAAACATGTTAAAGCACAATAGCAGGAATTAATTTCTGATAAATTTGATGTTACATTTTCTTTGAAAACTCTAATAAAATAAAAAAAAAATACTGGTCTGACTGCGATTTTTTAAATAATAATTTGAATAATATAATACTGTATTTTTAAAGAATTATAAAATATTTATTTTGAATTTTTAAAATTTTCTAAGATTATCTCTAAATTCAATGGAAAATGCGTTCTTACTGTTGATTGTACGCTTTACTTTTACGATGCATTTTGTACTATCCCTAAGGCTGCTCGTGGAAATTACGGCGAATGCGTTTTACAAGACTATACTTGGCAGCAGAAGCATCTGTAATTTATTTAAAATTTAATGGCTCGCTCTTCGGAATAAAATGTAATGCTTTCAAGCAAAAGTCAGCTATATATGCAAAATCATCGTCTATTTTCTACGTAGCGCATCTCTAAATATTAATAAATTATTTGTTGCTGCACAGAAGAAAATATACGCTATAGTTATATTATTAATGTTTATGCTATCAATTTATAAATATTATAAATATTATTCCTACGAATATCGTGGATTTAAGTGGATAATTCTATATTTGGAAGACGGAAGAGTGTACATCTAAAGTTATATTTTAGCGTATTTGTCATTTTGACGTCCTCATAATTAGGAAGATGAGCACTACAAGTTAAATTAACCGAATAAAATTATTCTTCCAATATTCCACTTTCTAAGATAAAAAAAATCAAGAAAATACAAATAACATAATTAAATTAAATTTACTGCAGAAATTAACAAATACTATGCACATCTGCATATGCGCGCAAACGGTATAACTAATCAGCGCCCGTCGTAAGTATAATGGGCCCTCTCGTAAATAATGAATAGCGTAAACCGTAGTGAAATGATTTATCGTGTCCAGCGCGAGCCGACAATGGCTTCCTTTTGGACGGCGGCAGCTCCGGCGGCGGCGGCGGCAGACCAGCCAGGCCAGCCGTTTGTACCTCTCTCCGCCGGTGCGCGCTTTCTCTCCCTCTTTCACCCTTCCTGCTACCTCGACCGCCGTCGTGCCGGTGTCGTGCAATAAATCTGTCCAGATGGTGCGGTATATAGCCGTCGGTGGTGGCGGCGGGATGCAGCGCGACGTGCCACGACGCTCCGGGGCTGCGAAACTCGTCGGCGTTGACCGATGGTCAAGGTGCCCCCATCGTCCAGACAGAGGGGTATGTTAAGGCGAATTTACGCGCGGTTCATTCTGGACGATTGCGCCGCACGAGTTTTCCATCCGAAAATTCGGATAAGAGAAGATGAGAGCGCGCAAAAATGCGATATTTGCTGGTTTCTTAATAAATTTCATTGAATCATTGTACAATGCTAGTATTTGTCTCGTCTTTTTTTTCTATTACAAAGTAAAAGATGATTTAAACACTAAATTATAAAAATACTAGTAGCTTTGGAATGAATATGAAATAAAGTAATTCGAGATGTGCACTTTATATAACTTTTGTTTCAATATATATTTAAAAAACAAACATTTACTTTTAATTTCAATTAATTGTATTTGAATTTAAATAATAATATCAGAGTTTCAAAAAAATATATGTAGTGTATCATGGAGTTTTCGATTTTGCAAGATTATCTTAAAATTGAACGGAAAATGCATTTTCATTGTTGATCGTACGTTTTATAATTTATAAACTCGACAAACTCTAGAACCTATTACTTTCGTTATGTCTGCATTAAAAAAATAAAAGTCGAAAGATATCTCTCGAAAATAATTTAAGCAAATGAAAATTTTATTCTTCTGTGATATCTATTTTCAAAGAAAATGATTGAAACCATAGAAGCTAAGAAATGTTTTCCGAGATATAAGAGCAGAAAAATATTCCAGTAATACAACGTATTAAAATTAACTGAAGAAAGTGCAAAGTATGTGCTTAGCACATGTACCCTCATCATCATTTTCACAGAAATAACTATCGGTGTGGCGAAGGAAGTAAGACCAGTAATACTTGGCTTCCGTTGAAACGCGTTGAAAAAGGGTGTTTCGCTCTGAAAGCGTTTGCGGGAGCAATTTTGTTAATTCGAAACGTGCGTAATTATGGCCTCGTACAAGCATAAAAGCGCGAACGATTCGGTGTTGAGTTTAAGTAACGATCTGAGTAACGGCAAAGTTCAATATCGCGTCGGGAAGAAAGGTAGGCGCCGCGTGGCTTTTAGTGTGTAAATTTATTACCGTGCCTGGTGTAAATCGCAATTTGTTTTACGGCATACGCATTCGCCGCGCGCGTCATATTTTGACTCGCCATATGCGATTGTCGCGCAGCGGTGCATTACTCATTAGCGGCCACACGTTTTCCTGTACGTGTTACCTGTACGGCTCACCCGTTACCTTCTCCGTAACGTGCGTGTGTACACGTGGTAATAATAAACACCACACATTGATTTAACGTGCGGCTAAGTGCATTTTAATAAATACCGATGATGCGAAACGCTCGACGAGCGTTAATGAAACCGTGAATACCGTGTTTACCGTGCGTGATGTTAGATTGTGAAGGAAATTAAGCACGTGTAAACGATTGATATTTCTATAAATTAAAGGAAGGCTCTTCTCAAACGTGATGTAACTATAAATGAATTAATTTACTATGTGTGGAGAATCGATGTGAGAAAATGATATTGTACTTGATAAGTGCATCCTGCACTGGTAACATCAGCGCGCGAGCAAAGAACTTTTGTTTGATTTATTTGTGTCATTTGCGAGGAGAAAAGATTTCAAACTGATGTCATTATCGTTAACTTGAATAAACGTGTACTTACATGTTGGTCTCGTCCTGTTGGGCCTCGTCAGTGGAATCCACGGTCTTTGGGGCGGATGGTTCGCCGTTACTGCAAAATACAAATGAACGACACACCGTTTAACATCTGTGCAAGATTTCAAATGAAAAACCACTCAAATAAATTTAATAACCCATGGATAGTTGATTATCCAATTCATCTTGAAAATTCGCATTCATCATTTCGGAGCTACGCGAAAATACTCTCCCGAGAGTATGACGTTTGGGTGCTCACGCACTTTTCATAAAGTAATATTACATCATCCAAGAGCGCGGACGGTGCCTGCGGCCAGACGGCGATTTCGTTGCAGCAAGACCGCGAAGATCGCGATGACCGCGGTTATTATAATCGCCGGAGTAATAGAGCAAAGAGGGAAGAAGCTTGTGGGTCGTGCGCTCATTAAACTAGTTCATTACACCTGCGTCGTCTAATGGCGCTCACTTACGAGAAGCCGCGGGCGCGCGTAGCCTGATAATTAGACCGTTCAACTGAATGTCACTTGCACGGACCCTCCGCTATTAACGGGCGTACAGGGCCAAGAAGTACGCGCACGCGAAATGTGAAGAAAAGAAAATGCGCCGCGCCTGCATCACTTGCACGTGACAGCGGCGGGATTATATCGGACGGCCTCATCTGGAGTCTATATCTGGCCTCACTTATCGTCAAGACTAATGGACCATGTCCCCGGAAGGATCGCCAAATTTATCAAACGTCATACGCTTCGGCGGGAAAAAAAGGAAAATGAAAGGTCTCGTAAAAGTGGCGAGGCCACTATGATCATTACATTGATATGAAATTTTAATGTCGGATGTCGAGGGTTTCGGAGCGGAACGAGTTGCCCGAATGTCGATGGTTTTGCCTTAGTCACTGCCTTAGTCCGCGAGTTTCAGTTTTTAACGACAAACCGCGCTCTTTTGCGCGACATGCAACCGCAAATGAGGAAGAGATATGCGATATTGTGGTCGGGCCGGGCGACGGTCGTGTGGTTAAGAATGTTGTTTTAGCTTCTAGTGGTTAGCGTAAGTATCCAAGTAGCACAAGAAATGCTCTATAAAGTTTGTGCGAAGCAAAACTTGACGCTACTTTCGTTGTCGGTGATCGGCGTCGTATTTTTGAAATAGCACAAAACACAAGGCACCTGCGTATCTGCCCTCTCCGCGATCCTACGCGCGGGATAGCGAGGGGACCTGTGTCGAGCCGAGGTTTAATAATAAGAAAATAGGTCAACCTGTCGGGCGTTTATGTTCGGCATTCTAGAGATTCCCTCTGAAATATCCTCCAAGTTTCAAGAATAATCTCGTTGTTTCAGGGCTACGGAGAGAGTTATTTACGGCGCGGGGGAAGTTTCGCAATCTATTCGGTGGTCGAGCGCGAAATCTTCCCGAGAGGCGAGAGATCTCTCGCCGATATTTCACCGAGGATCTGTTCGCAAATAACTTTCGGATGCTTCCTCTGCTTCTTTCCATTAAAATGGAATTATCTCGCGGGATATGGCTCCTTCGTCGATAACATTCAACATAAGGTACACATATGCATGTATGATATGTTACAAATAAATTTTACATATGTGTGAAAAATAAGATAAAAATAAAATATAACAACACAACAATGTAGGAAATATTGAAGATAGAATTATAAATGATTAACGATAATACAAGTGCAAATATGAATAAACTACGAATAAAAATTATTGCAATGTGAGAACATGCACAAGAATAGAGTAAAACCGTACACGCCGCGATGTTGCATATATAATGTAATAACATGTTTTTCGAATGCGGCGAAGCGTGCGCAATTTGCAGTCACTTTCCACTGATTATCGTCATTAAGTTGCTGTATTATCTCGCGTGCGCGCGTGGATGATCAACTCAATCGCGCCGCGCCGTCCATCGAGATTAATCCGACGCTTTTCGAAGCTCGTAACACGTCGCGTTACAATCATGCGTGCCAATCACAGTGCCGCTGCCGCGGGCACGAAGGGATTAATCGGACGGGAATAACTCGCGCGATGGCGTTGAATGCGCGCAAAAACAAGAAATCGCGCGTTCCCGTCGTTCTCGCCGAAGCTTCTCGCTATCACGATCGAAGCCGGGGATTTTCGAGTGTGTTAACTGTCAATGAAACGTTTGCCTTCAAGTCTCAATTACCATGATGGATTAAGTTGAATCGCAGCGTAAATTTCCGTTTAAATAGAAGAAGAGATGGAAAACTTGCTATTTAATTTCCTATTTCTCTTCACTATTCTTTTCTCCTATTTATTTTTATTCTATTTTTCTCGATTTCTTATGAAGAAAAATGAAGAATGGAATTAAAATTTAGTGTCTTAAGACCAATACTTTTGCACTCGATACAAAAGAGGAAAATGTCCAAATGTGTACCATTCCCTGCAGAATTTTCCGCTCACAGTTGCCTCGTTTCGACCAAGCTTGTCATTATCCGCGCAATATTTCGCGCTCGGCGATAAGAGCGCTTGAGGAAGAATTCGGAGATCATCGTATCGACGTATCGATCGGCCCCGATAAAATATCTGCCCTGCGGGGGCAGAAAACGGAGGTGGGATCGCGATACTACGACAAGGGTCGGTGACGACGATCCTTGGCGAGTCTTGGTCTATCTCAACGCGACGGAAAACGGGATAGGGAAAGAGGGGGAGAGATCGTAGAATTGAAACTGAGAATTCTATTTCGCTCCCTCGGGAGCCGCTGGCGAGAAGATAGAGATAGCGCCCCCGGGAACATTGGCGTGGGATAATATAGGCGACAAGCAAGAGAGAGAGAGAGAAAGCCGCGCGCGGCATGCGAAGGGACGTATTTCACGTCGCGGTTGACATCGCGACGATTTATTCGACGTTGTATTTCTGGCTTCAATGAATTTAAATGCGCGGCTTAGGGTGAGTGTATCGCGGTAACCAACAGCGGCCGCTCCTAAACGTAAGGTAAAGTCCAAGTCTTTTACGTCACACTGTTTTATGGCGTTCAAATCGTCAAGCCTAACATCGTAATATTCGATGATTAATTTTGTATAACTTTAATATTCACGATAGACTCTTGACGGCTATTCCAAAACGTACAGTAAGCCTCTTACATATATGAATTATGAGATGAGTATTAAGTTTAAAGTCGAGCAACCAGCCCGAAGAGAGATCGTGAGATTGCATAACAGATATGTATATTAATGTAGAATCACAAATTTTCGCAATAAGTTCTTACTTCTAAACGTCTTACAATCTTATTGCGAGACCCCAGCGTCCATTTTACAAGGATAAAATAAAATAAATAAGTATTATTACATAAATAATTGGAAAAGGAAGTAAAATATAATTGATGCAAAAAAGAAATATTAGGGGTTCAGGAGACAGTGAGAGGGAGGGAAAAAGTACGATTATGGTACGATTCACGTAGCAGCGTAGGTATGTGCGGAAACAATTACGCGAAAGCTGTCCGTCGTCCGCATTCCGTGGGGTCTTACAAACCCAATTAAGATCTCCCGTCGAGACGCCCGTGCGCGATACGTAGCTAGCCGAGACGGCTCTCGTAATTTTCCCGGTACAACGTGTTCGAGCTTCTTCACTTCGTGTACGCTTATCGCGCGTCGGGCGCGCGTTTCTCTCTCTCTCTTCCTCCTACAAACTCCGACGCTCGTTTTCCTGGAACCTTCACTCCGCCGTCATGGGAAACGATCTCTGCGCCCTAACTCGTTCGCCTTAATAATTAACGTCTCGCGGATTGAGACGTTTCGGTCTCGCGAATTGACATTCTGATTAAGTAAAGCTTCTAGATGATTAAAGCAAAGAAAAATGCATGGTGTTTTGAAAAGGATATATATACATATATATAGATATACTTAACATTTTTTTTATTTAGTTTTGAAATTTGAAATATATATATAAATAGATAACTGATTCAAGTCTGCATGCGGAAACAAACAAACATGTAAGTTTTACTCTTCACTTTTACTTTTTTTCAAAAATATATATATCTAGAATATTACAATGTAATAAGACAGAATAACTGAATAATGTAAAATTTTATTGCCAAATTTTTATTTTACTTATCTCTCTGAATAAAGAATTATGTACGAAGCGTAGATAAGAATTAAATTGAAACTTAACTCCGACGTTTTCAAAATGCACTTATTTTATAGCTTACGAGAAAATTGTTAAAGCTATTAAGGTTTTTAATTTATGTGCATTTTTATTTCATTTAGAACGCATTTAATCTTCTCTACCACGTCTTTTCCATAATTCCCCACGCGTATATTAAAATCTTAATAGCACGCTGCTGACAATTCCGCAAAACAGTTTGTGGCCTCGTGTCTCTTTAATCTAGAAATTGCTCCATCATGACGCTTTTTATCAAGCCCGCGGAACCGTATAATTCGAGCGAAAATAAAGTAAGAGATGAGGAGGAGGGAGGGGGGGGGGGAGGCTAAATCTGTGCACCGTTGTTGTATACTTTGTTCTTTCTTTCCTTGTTTTATCGGAATTACAATTTTCCCCGCGTCCATCTCGACGAAGTATAATCGCTGTTACTGAAATTTAAGTTTCGCGCAGATCGTTTACGATATTACGCTCTTTGATGTGGTTCGGCCGAGCCGCGGAAAAAATTTAATACAATTACGTTAGCGTGTTTTATTTCCGGGCGTAAAAAATCGAAGATACAATAATTCGACACAGAGAAAATTAATATTTTTATTTATCTATATATATATGTGCGATATATCCATTCTGAATACGAATAATCCATTCTGTCATTCTCTTCTAAATTAGATAGCATGTTTCAATTGGATGATGTTACGATTTATTTGCTCTCCTGAAAATTTATTTACGAAACTCTTCCAATTTTCAATTCATTTCAATTATAATTAATATTGTAATTGTAAACAAAACAACAATTAATGATTCGGCATCTCAATAAAAATTTAACGTTTACACATTATCGTTTAACAATAAAAACGTCGGCTTATATTTACAATATCCCATGTACGAAAGGACTCTGCTTGGTCTCACGGTGGTCTCTCCAAGTGTAATCGATTACAACAAATCGACAGGG